GCCATAGTCAACCGCCGATAAACACCCATATTGTCGCAGAAATACTGCAGATACGGAGTGAGGAAACTTTCAGGACCCTCGTCACACGCTTCTAAATGGAAACGCGCCATCCAGAGTTAGTTACGCATTATCTGCTCCTTGCAGCCATATCCGCCCATCAATGCTTGCAGACATTAGCTCCCTCCGACTACCCGTGATAAGCGGACTCCCGATCCTCCAGATCCCAAAAGTCCTCCAGCAGAAAAGAAACACTTCTCCGACTAGTCCAAGCAACAATTACTATCTGCCAGAACAGAGGAAGGCGAGTTAGACGCAAACACTCCAGAGCCATGGATACTGATGGAAGTTGCTTCTTTTCCTCACTCAACACAGGCGAATTTGTCAATCGCAATACACGATTGCTAAGTCTCTGGAGTCCCCTACTTCTCATATGCAAACACAATCCTCCACCCAGACATACTTCGCCTCTTACGTCAACGCTTTGTCAATGCGTCCCTTCATACCACGAAGAAAGTTGCACACTTGGTGAATCAAACCTGGCGTAGCTCTGCATGCGGTGGCTCGAAAGTGCCAATATCCTGCCTTACAAAGGACGACATCTCGAGCAGGAACAGCCAAATGGATGGTGAATTTGCCTTTGCGCATGAAAGTATCACAAACTTTAAAAGTGCTCACTCTAAGCCGGATTTAATAACAATAGAATCACTGTTACCTTGGAACTCGACTCCCGCTTACTCACCACACATGAACAAGTCATATGAGAAAGCGATTTGTGAGAGCGATAAAGCTAGCGGTGGCAATAGCGAAATGACGAAATCCACCACACCTCAGCACTGCAACGACCTGCGCGGCGCACATGAGGTGGTATTTGGCTTATCGGTGTATTCAAACAAGAGTGTAAATTATTCTATTGCATGTAGCTGTTTAGAATGCGAAAATTGTAATAAAAGCAAGACAAACAAATTTGCTTTTTTAAACATTTTGCTACAAGGAACATTTATCAATTATAAGTACATGCTAAGCACTAGCTTCGCAGCTTCGCTTTAAGTAGCTATCGCCATAGTCAACCGCCGATAAACACCCATATTGTCGCAGAAATACTGCAGATACGGAGTGAGGAAACTTTCAGGACCCTCGTCACACGCTTCTAAATGGAAACGCGCCATCCAGAGTTAGTTACGCATTATCTGCTCCTTGCAGCCATATCCGCCCATCAATGCTTGCAGACATTAGCTCCCTCCGACTACCCGTGATAAGCGGACTCCCGATCCTCCAGATCCCAAAAGTCCTCCAGCAGAAAAGAAACACTTCTCCGACTAGTCCAAGCAACAATTACTATCTGCCAGAACAGAGGAAGGCGAGTTAGACGCAAACACTCCAGAGCCATGGATACTGATGGAAGTTGCTTCTTTTCCTCACTCAACACAGGCGAATTTGTCAATCGCAATACACGATTGCTAAGTCTCTGGAGTCCCCTACTTCTCATATGCAAACACAATCCTCCACCCAGACATACTTCGCCTCTTACGTCAACGCTTTGTCAATGCGTCCCTTCATACCACGAAGAAAGTTGCACACTTGGTGAATCAAACCTGGCGTAGCTCTGCATGCGGTGGCTCGAAAGTGCCAATATCCTGCCTTACAAAGGACGACATCTCGAGCAGGAACAGCCAAATGGATGGTGAATTTGCCTTTGCGCATGAAAGTATCACAAACTTTAAAAGTGCTCACTCTAAGCCGGATTTAATAACAATAGAATCACTGTTACCTTGGAACTCGACTCCCGCTTACTCACCACACATGAACAAGTCATATGAGAAAGCGATTTGTGAGAGCGATAAAGCTAGCGGTGGCAATAGCGAAATGACGAAATCCACCACACCTCAGCACTGCAACGACCTGCGCGGCGCACATGAGGTGGTATTTGGCTTATCGGTGTATTCAAACAAGAGTGTAAATTATTCTATTGCATGTAGCTGTTTAGAATGCGAAAATTGTAATAAAAGCAAGACAAACAAATTTGCTTTTTTAAACATTTTGCTACAAGGAACATTTATCAATTATAAGTACATGCTAAGCACTAGCTTCGCAGCTTCGCTTTAAGTAGCTATCCAATCATGTAGTCGTTTTGTAATTTTGACTAGTTCGCCACTATTTGTTTGGCGTTTTTCATTACTTCCGCACTTGACCTAATTTAGGTGTCTTGTTTTTTCTCGCGCATATCAACTGACAAATACTAACTTTTCTTGTAGAGATATTACGAAGGGAGTCGCATTTGAAACAGATTAGACCGTGAGGTACACCTTAAGCGTATCATTTCCTCACAACCTTTTTGACAATTAAAAGGTTTCCGAATGAACTGGAATGTTAAGTGGAGGAAGCAAATAAGGCAAGTGTTGGGTCCCGCGCATGTAAGCCGAGTGATGGCACGAACGCCCTCATCCGAGTCGAGGCAGTCGATAGATCAGATCTGGACGGTCGATTCAAGGCAGTTGCATCCACGAGCAGCGATCAGGGTGATATCCAGATCAATGGCCGATCATGATTGCTCGTGTACTGGTCGCAGGCCAGACCGCAGCACAAGAGGTCTTCAGGTATCCTTTGCACACCTGTTTGTATTGATGAGGTATGAAGTTGCTGCTGAAATACCCCTATCCCATTATTATTCCTGAAGACAGGTTGGATGATCAGATTCGTCGCCTGATGGGACTAGATTTGACAAGATGTACTGATGTGGTTGGTCCATCTGCTGCATCACCATCGCAGACGTGTAGGCGTCTTGATAGTTTTGGGGTAAGTGACGGCAAAGCCATTAATTTGATTCAAGTAATCGACTTGAACTAAAATTGTCAATTCCCTCAAAACTGACAGCTGTTAGATTGGGCAATTATTGTAGTATGTGAATGAGAGCACTGGTTTAGTTATGCGGGAATGATTTCTTTTGCTAAACTGGTGAGGTGTAAAGAAAGGAAAATAAGAAGCGGATGTCTAGCAAGGTAAGAGCGAAGGCGGTGATATATTAGCAGAGAATCCTGGAGGGAATCCATGGCGATAGGGCGTTGTGGATAATAGACTGAGTGCATATCCGTCTGCGCATTCGAAGGTGTTGTATTTTTAATTGGCGGGATTTGTCCACTGTTTGTCCCCGCATCAGTGGAATTGGGGTCCTGGTGGTGTTCCCACCAATTTAGTGATTGGCAAACCTGCAATTAGCTAGGTATTTCTTTAGATTGTTGATTGCTAATTATAGATTAAATGTTGGGTAGTAACTAGGTAGGGGCATCGAGACGTTGAATATTGAGTTGGATAATTGGGAATTTGAATGCACCTTCCAGCATGCACTTGCTTAATGTCTAATGCCACCATCAAATTTACAAAGCTTTGCGATTATTTTACAGATTAATTCAGGTAAACCTGCACTCTTATTTTAATGCCCAAATATCGGAAGATCTGATGAGGTTTAATCAGTAGATTTAGCCTCGGATCTAATAAGACCAATTTCCACAATTTACACGAATAATTACTTTGAAAACTCATCATTTGAGAGAACAACATGGCGTAATATTGTAATTATTAATGAGGTGTTTGCTACTGATTAGCGTGTAGGAGAGGTCAAAATACTTTCTGTGGTCGACAGAAGGAGTAAATCCTTTCTGATCACTGGAGACAAATTCGAGCGCATGTGAGTGACGATTCACTTGTTTATCTGACCGCAAACTCGCGCACGTTTGCATACACCATTTCATCACAATGAAATGAAATGGCCTTATACACAACTGGTGGAGTGATAACTTGGGGCAAAAGGATGTCTAGCAATCTCTCAAATGCGCGTAGCAGGCTGAACTAGTGACTACTTTGCAACAATGCTCAGTTTTATCACCGATTCCTGTAATTCTGCTTCCAAACAGCGTAAAATATATTGGGAAAATATGAAGCACTTTGCGCTGTTCACAAATGAGCACGCTACATATCGTTTGGATATTTTGACTCACTTCAAGCCAGTGAAGTATTGTAACCTGCCACACATTTTATAGCTGTCATATCAAAATTGAAAGCAGCATAAATGACACTCAGGAAGATTCTTTATTACCAGCAAAAAAATTATTTATGATAGAAGATGGTAAAGTGGGCGCAATAACGTCAATTGAATATCGAATAACACGAGAAATGGTGAACTGAATACCTAAATTAATACCTTTGTCCGATTCGTAATTTTTGGCTCATCATGAACCACGAGTGATGATCTGTTTTGTTGGAGTAGCAATGTCAACTAGAGGCGAAGAGATCCAGAGGAGATGACAACCCCTCGGCAAGCACTACTAGATTTCATGAATAGTGACACTTCCCGCCATATAATAGAACTCACGCCACCCTATGCCGATGCCATCTTACATCAGGAACGGTCGTCGGCACTTGGGGCGTGTCTTACTTATCTTGTCAGGAGGGGTGTCAGATATTGTGGGTCGAGACACAACATAAGGTGGGCAGCATTGGGTGGGTTCTGTCACAGTTCATTGTGTTTCGTGGCCTAGAGAGTGCAATAGGTTCATGTATATCGTGTTAATTTTTTTCGCTGTTGGATGGCCTCTGCTGATGCTAGTGCTCCCGGCCGTTTTTAAGTTGTGACGAGAGGGAGGGAGCTGCATTTTCTACTTATTCGTTGCCAGCGTTTCATTTATGTTTAAATTATAATTTCTCTCTTGAGAGCATTCAAACTGTTCCGCCCGAATACGAGGTAATGGTTGGGATTCTTTAATAGCTGTTTCACGAAGCCACCAAACTGAGAAAGCAAAACTTGAAGCCCAGTCTTTTTGTTCCTCGCCCAACTTGACAAAGTACGACTAATTTGGCGCTCCGTTCAGAGGTCTAGATGTAGTGAACTACGGCCTCCTGGCACCGAGTGCGTGAGAGGGCGAATACCCAAAAGGTTGGGTCCTAGGTGGGACTCCGGGAACCAAAAATCAATCGCTCTCATCGTCCACTTTCTCTACCGTGGGGTGTAGCTAGTGTCTCCGTAACTGCCGTCTAGTAGGAGTTTCAGTGAGTACTTAGCCTTCGCTACCACCGTCACATATATTTTATGCTCTGATTTTTTTGCAAATGAGCTCGATGTCAATTGTTAAAGTTCCATTCTTTATTGGTTTGTGATAATTGAACAAGTTAAAGCCCCTGGAACATAAAAGTCGAGCTAAAAGCAATATAATGGGCGCAAATGTTTGGCCAGGCTATGTCTTGATTTCAGTAAGGTGTCTTTATAACGTATTTTGCATACAAATGTCAAAACCTTCATGCTGCTTAGGTTTCAAATGTCATTTTTCGGGTTGGTTATTATTTAACACTACAGTTTGGGGCATGCTCCTTTAGGAGTTCTCTAATCTACTTTCGGAGTCGAGTGGCATTTCAGGTTTCTGGTCTATAAATCGGAAATGTGGGTATGCAATTGGGCGGTCACGCTGTACGCTGTAGCAGTAGTGCGCTGACCGAAGTTGGGAGTCGAGTAGCATTCCAGCTGCCTCCTCTACAAATGGAAAATATGAGTTTGCTTGTGAGCGGTTATGCCGCTTGTTCTTAAAGGAGTTCTCTAATCTGCGTTCGGTATTGAGAGCAGTTTCAGATTTCTCGTCTTTAAATTTAAAATAGGTGTTCCCTTTCGAAAGGTGTTGACTTTTGCTTGAAGTGGAATGGGATGAAATGCTTTTGGCGTGGATGGCCGTATCAGATTTCTGGTCTATACAACTAAAATATTGGTTTGCATTTGAGCGTTCATGTTATTTTCCTTAGATAAAATGTGTTTTATTTCATTGTGACCGAAGGCCTATTTGGTATTTTTGTCCGTTTATCAACAGTAATAATTTTCTTGTTTCCATTCGTGTTTTTTCTATCTATTTCGTCTTTGTACCATCAGTTTTCAGTCTTCGTTCTCGCTTAATTTTGTATTTAAATGACCACTGGGCTTCCTTTGAATTTGCTGAAATTCACCGTACTGCGTCCAATTTTAAGCCTAATTCATACATTTGAGTCCATTTACTATCTCTTGGGATAAACAAATTCATTAGTCGTGATTTATTTAACACATTGGAGCGAACGAAGTGGTATGTGTAAATATGTTAGTCCATACTGTGCGAATGAAATAACAGCTCTGCAGAAAAGGGAAAGGAAGCATCAGCCTTTAAAAATATCGAAACTACCATCTAATTTTGCACCATTTGATGACAATCCTGCAAATCGTTCGTGGGCCATATGAGATATCCTCACCTGTATTCGACTATCTGTCGACATCTCCACATTCATGCCATGATAATCCCAAGAAATGGGAATTTTAAATTTGAATTCCATCTCAAATACAACAGCTTCTAACAGCTCTGCAATCACCATCCCCGTACAATGAGTGCATTTAACTCAAAACATCATTTATTTTTAATCACTTCAATCCACGTATGTTTAATCTGTTATGCTCATTTGATCATAACTGGACCTACCTTTAAGTGCAACATTACAGAAATGCAATAATGGAGAAGAATGGCTAGAATTGCTTTTTAAATACTAATTACTGAAAATCATCAGAGCAAGGAAGAGCCAATGAAATGAACCTAAATATGCCTAAATCCAGCATCCTAATCAACGTGTTGTGGGCTATTAATTTTGCCCTATAAGTCTGGTTCCAAACCTCGAGTTTTAGAAGACTTTGTAGTAGTCGCCAACGTCACTGTTTTATCTGCTGTCCGTGACTAAACAGCAAGTCAAAAATTGTGGAACCAGGTCAAGTCTCCATGTATAACCACCTGTGACAAAAGTAGTAATCAAACAATCAATTACTTTTGAACTCCGTTTCCACCGGTTCATACTGCACCGATTTGTGAGCGATTTGACAGGACGCTACCAAGCGAACAAGTTAACAAACTAAATAGGAGTCCAGAAAGATTGACAAATGAAAAAAGTGCTATTTTTGGTATGCATATAAAGCTAATCGAATTCATTGTCTGCGTGATTGAGCAAGCAACAGGGCGAGAAGATAAGAAAATGGAATTGAATAAAAAAGTTATCCGGTAAATTAACAGGTATATGGAATATATCTTACGTTTTAATTCCCTCCATTGCCGCACGGACACCAATGCAGGAATAATTTGGCAAATATCTGGATCCACACAAAGCCATCTCAGAGGTCTTCCCTCAAACTTAATTGAGTTGTGATGCTCTTGCGCGAGGTTTTTCAGCATTCATTTTCAGGACGGTGTGGGATAAACGAAATATTTTCCGCTCTAATACCTACGGATTACATTCCAAAGTAAAACGCAATTAGGAATTTCGGCTTGCCAAAAAGATGGGCAGAATGAGATAGGCAAAGCAGAAAGACAACCAAAAAGTAGAGAGGCGCAGGATCAACAAAATAATTCCACGATTGCTTGTTAAGTTTGGATGAGTTGAGCTTCACGGTGGGGAGAATGTTGTTACGGCCTTTAGAATAGTGACATGCAAAGCCGTAAGGAAGGTGTTGAAGGTGAAGGTGCCGAAGACAGACATTGGAAAGAGGAAGAGGAGGAAGACGAGTTATGCCATCTACCTATACAAGATGTTGCACCAGATGTATCTAGACACGAGCATCTCCTCCTTCGTGAACGACATCCTCGAGCGGATTGCCGTTGAGTGAGTCGGTTGGCTCATTACAGTAAAAAGTCGACCATCACGCGAAGAAAGATCCACACTGCTATGCATCTGCTGCTTCTGGGCAAGTTGGCCACGAATCTGGTTTCTGAGGTCACGGAGGCTGTTACCAAGATCACCGGCTCTATTATTAAGTTTACAGAACTTGATGATTAGATGCAATGTGTATCGCACTGCTTAAAAAATTAATTAATGTGGCCAACGTAAAATGCATTTAGCACTTCAGTTTTGCACTCGTCATTACTTTAGAACTAATAAAACATCATCTCAGCTTCAATCAGCAAAGCTTAAGCTGCTCAACGGGTACAGATAGAAGCACAACCGTCTGCTGAGTAACAAAGCCAACCTCAAAGGTGCTAGCTAGGCCATGGTGGCTGGTAAGGGAGATGGGTACATTTCTTGACATCCAGTCTTCCCCACTTTTTCCTTACACTAGCTTTTAGTGAGGATTTGAATGTCAAAGTGTATGGTAGAGGAGGACGTAACGTAAATCAAAGTCGAAAGGAATTTGTATAGAGGTAGGCGAGACTAAAGAGCGTTGAGCTACGTTGACATAGCTAGAACAGTATTGTTAAACGGGCACGTGAATGACATCTAAGATAAAAGCACTGGAAACGGTCAAGTCCAGAACGGAAAGGACGATTAAGAAGATCTCTGCCCTCCACGCTTGCAAGGCTTTGCCCCAGGCGCATTTGTACACAGGCATTTCCCCTAGAAATGTCAATCATAAACGCTTTCGTGGGCGCATGAACAGCATTTTCATACATATTGCTGCAGTAAGTTGAGATGTAGGATAATGTATCAAAATGGAAAATCAAGCATTGGGAGCAGACAGACCTAAGCCGCTCTTAGTGATTTTGTTAAGTACGCGGTGTCGAATATGGTCATGTATAGAGTTATCAGTTAGAAAAGGGATAGTTTACAGGATTTTTGGAACCCTCCATTTTTGTGACTAACTGTATATCCATTCCGGAAATGGGGCTATTGCTCACTTCTTCCTCCTCAGCCTAAAAATTGCGCCGAAACCTAATTTAAACGCACTAATATGCACTTTTAATCCACGTCCAAGCAGCAGCAATAGCAGTTATTAGCGTTGAATAAAAGTCGCCACATCTCGTTAATCAGAAATTAAAACACAGACTAAGGAATCCCTATTACTCTGCCGGCTATTAATAGTGCATCAAAAGCGTCCATGTTAGTACAATCCGATGCACGAATTCATTTTAATGAAATACCGCGTATAGAAACATAAAATTGGTTGCAAAAACTGAGGCTTGACCTGTGTTGCATTGTCCGTATAATACAAAGTGATAATTTTTTTACAGTTTGCACGTGTATATACTGCAAGTCACAAATAACTCATTTTTGAGTTGTGCATCAGTTGATACACACCACGTAAAGACTTATCCAGTTGCGCACTCACATTCCAGCTTATGGTCGATTTAAGCAGCCTTCCATCCTTCCCTACTATTTTTCTATTAACCTTTATCATACTACTCATATTTAGACCCTTAGGAGGATTTCTCTTCCGCATTTGTTGTAAGATGCTCCTGCTTGTTTTTATCGTTAGCAACATTTATATCTCCAAAACGAGCGAAGCCACGATGGAGCCCAAAGGGGTTATCCGGAGAAACCGAAAAGTATGAAAATGCCTGATTACGAAATTGATCAGCTTTCACCAACTACTCGATTTTACCTCGCCTAGATGCCATTTCATGTCGACATAACCATCCCAAACCCCGATAACCATTGAGGATGCCTCAAGGACAGTTGAGTAAATTTGTCCTTAACTTTACTAATGCTTTTGATTTTTTCTCTTGACTAATTTAAAATTCGTAAGTTTTTTAAAACTCATTTTGTTGGCTGACTTAAGTGTGAACAGGCATGGGATCTAGGACCTAAGAGGAGGAAATCAGTGAAGATTTGGTCTTCATTTGTTGGTGAAGTAGTAATGCGCTTTTAGGGCAATCTGATTCTAAAAACGGAGTGTAGGGCACCTTGAAGCATTGCCTTCATGAATATGACCACAGCGCAGGAGGTGGGGACACTTCTAGAGGAGCAACCTCATTGGTTAACTGAGAATTACATCAGAGTGTAATCTGTATTTCACGAAACTCCAGTTGGGTTCCTGTGATTGGGACACAGGTTTCCAAAGTCAAATTTCACATGGCAGTAGATAGCGAAGTCAATGATACGTTGACATAGTATGTACTTCTTTAGCACTTTTAGCGAATTCCTACAATGGGCTTAATTGAACCACAAGATGCTGCCAAATGGTATGCACGACAACTGATTTCGGCAAGTTGTCATAACCTATGAAATGGCTTAGCTGTATTTATGTTCAACTCTCAATATTCCAAAATTCTTACTTATCCACTAAATACTACTTATAGTGAAAATGCATGATTGACTAGTTCTGAGGATAAAGTGCACATGAAATTGGTAACAGTGACAGCAGCCTTGTGACGGCTCATTTTAATTCACCACCATTTAATGCATTGTTCCAAAGTAAAGGTAACTACCGCCTGCAATTTATGCAAACGCCTCTTTTATGGCTAGCTAGTTTTATTAGTGAACCCAAATTGTTAAATGCAGATATAAATGCCTTAAACGCCCTGACGTAAAGTTGTGTCATTTGTACTTTCCTCTTTTTCATTCAAGCCAAAGAAATGCTCTCCATTTAGAACAATTGCCTTTATTATGCGCTAATTACCATCCTACCTAAATGCACCAAAAGAAGTGGTGGCGTACCTTGCTACCAGCAAATATAAATTAGGTGTGCCTTCTACACCGGTGCCATCAATGCAGAGGCGACTGTGCTATTTACAGGGTTATTACCGCCAGGCGTACGAGCTTTAAAATGGCCTCAAAGTTAGACCACAACTCTCCTGGTGATTGGAAACATTAGTGACTCTGCCACTGGCACAGTGAATAAATCATCGCAAACAATGAAATAGGCCCTTGGATAAATCAACAAATATTTGCTACACTCTATTGACTTATCCCTACCAAAAAGAATTAAGTCCGTTGATGTATTTTTTACAAAACACGTCTTTTACGCATTAGAAGTGGGGTGGAGTGAGTGGTGGAAATAATCGTTGGGGAAACAAATAGGAGCGTACCCTTAAAATCTGCTTTGGGACTATGTCTAAGGTACGTGTAATTTGTAACGGTCTACCTAGATGCTTTAGTGATTGCATATGGCTCGACTTGTGGCATTTATGAACTGGGTAATGGAAATATATTTGAGCGCCCATGTGATAGCTTGAAAGTGAAGCAGTCGACGTTTGTTCTTGCGATCATAATCACCTGAGATTATAAGGTGTCAATGGTCAAGTTTTGAACACCAGCATATAATAGATTAGGAAATTAAATCTGGTACTTGAGTCAATACTAACAACTCTTGATAGACATACTGTACCTGTTAAATTAGAGCTCCTTCATTGCAAAAATTGACAGTATATGCCACGTTTTTTTCAATTGTGACATGTATAATTTAGGATGTCCTATGTTTTAAGTACCTTGTACGGCAAATTTTGGAAGACAATAAACTGAATAAAAAGGACGGGAATTAGATAGACATGAAAAATTTCTATGAAATAACACGCTAATATTCTTATGTTGAGTAAGCGATTGTGAGATCACAAGTGGCTGATTTGGGACTTGCATTTTGGCTGGTTCGCTGTATGATTTCCAGCTGATCGTAACGGACA